GCCAATGTTTTTTTTAGCAATTCAGCTTATTTTAAAATTGTACTTTAACTACATTATACAAAAACGAAATAAATTATCGAATGAGAAGAACGTGTTACGCCAGTCTTTAAAAAATGGGGAGAGCTTGCCTATCTATTTTTTTTTGGGGAAAACAAAAACAAAACAAAAAAAAACCAGCATTCAAACTTCTAACTTTTAAAAGTGTCCCCAATGTGGGGATGGGGGGCAAACACTGACATGACTACTAAAGCTTGTAACTAACAACTATTTCATCGTCAAGTCACTTATTTACCATTATTTTCTGTTTGGATCTTATTGTCTTTTCCAGAATGTGGCATAAGGCTATGAGGCTATTTTATTTGTGTGGGTGTGCGTGCGTGCTTTTTAAACATCTTGAAATTAGAGAGGAAAACTCAGAAAGTTTACCAAAGAATCCTGGTCAGGCCCGTCGCCAAGTTCTCTCTCTCTCGTCGTGAAAATACTGTGAACTAATTTTAGTGTGCAAATTTTTCTTTCCCCCACCGACTTAAGGCCGACCCCACCTACTCAAAACACTCTGGCGATGGACCTGCTGACCATAGTATTTATCGCCACGTTCTTTATTGCATTAACTACTATTCTCAAAAACACTAGCAATTTAACAACTAAAGATTGCAGTTCTGTTAATTCGGCTATGTTAATTAATGTTATTACTGGATATCGCCAAATTTAAGTTAAAAAAAACCCAAAAAACTTAAAATATAAAAACACATTTAAAATAATTTTTAAAATCCCTCGTTTTTACTTAGTAAAATGTTGTTTTTTTTTTTTTATTTTTATTTCAACAATAATAGCCTCAAAAGCCAATCCTTATGAAAATAAAAATTAATTTCCCTATAAATTTTTTAGACATTTTTAGTCTTTTAGTTTTAGTTTTACATACCTGTTTATTACTAAAAAAGTACTAGAGACCTAGTTATTATTATGGTAAATAACTTGTTACCATAATCATTAATTTAATTTACGTATTTCACTTAAACTAAAACCACTATTTTTAACTACTCTTTCTATCTCTGGACACTCCACTAATCTGCCCTTGTGTCAAACAAAAATACGACCATATGAACTACCATTTTTCACTCACCTACTGTTACTAGTGCTACCATTTTTTTTTTTTTTTATCTATCGCTTCAAATAGGCGATTTTTATTTGAATTTGTAATTCAAATTATACAATTTATATTTGAACCTTAATTTCGCTCGTCATAAAGGCGCAGCAAATAACAATAACATACCTTATGGTGGGCACTTGCTATATTACTTACCAAACTCATCTATCAGCAAATCATTGTGAATTCAATCATTGCTGAGTTCCCCGTGATTATACCAAACGAAGATGAGCCTCTCTAAATATTACTTTTGTGTTTAGAAATCTTTTATTTGTACATCTGGTAATTTTATTTTAGTAATATAAATAAATAAATCAATAGCCAAGCCAAAAATTAACCATAACACATGACAGATGTTATTTTAATTTTATTTTCTATCGAAATTTGTTTGTTCGCTCATGCGAAAAAATTAACAGTTATCAAAAACAGACGTCTTTACTTTCCATCACCTTTTGTTTTTAAACGTAAAATTAGATATCGAGAAAATTATCTCTTGTGTCGGGTGTAAATAGGATTTTAAAAAAAAGTTAATTTGAGGTTTTTAATTTATTTTTATTTGACGCGTCTGTAAAATTATCGAACTTTCTTGATTTCGCTTCACAAGTTATTGTAATTATCTCTACTTTCACTATTATTACTAATTCTACATTAACTACAAAGAACTATCCTAACTAACTAATATTATTACAAAAAGTCCAACTACTTCTGCCGACGACACTACTACGACTGCTAATTCAACGCTTCATCACTATTTTGAATTGAATACCACGACTAAACTTTCCACGATCACCAACCATTCTTGCAAATTAGTGTGCTACGATTCTTCATTCTCACATTTGATTTCATTTGAATAAGTCAGTAAACATTACAATTGAATTACATTATCGTTTCTAATAGTTACTAAGTATTTGTTAAAAACTAAGTAACATTATTAGTAGAACTTCCTTTTTGTACAATGTATGCAAGCTAGTTTCACGAGAGAGAGAGAGATCGTTTTTATAAAAAGTGCTCAGTAATTTTGGTCTTGTGTCACATTGAATTTTATTTTAAAATGCTTTTTTCCCCTGTTTTCTTCAAAATAATAATGTGGTTTCAGCTTGCTTCGTTGCTGAGATTTTCTTTTGTTTTTTCATTGGGACAAGTGATGGTCGGTCTTCAAGTTCAGGTAAAAAAAAAAAAAAAAACGGGATTTTTATTGCATGCAATTAAAAAATTAAGACCCGCATTCACGTTGTCAGTTTTTTGACTTCGATGCCGGAGTTCGGATTCTTGAAACAAAATTCAGATTGTTAATTTGTTATAAACACGATCAGGTTTTAAAGAAAATCACTTTTAAATGTAACAATTAAAGGACGCCACTATTGAATCTTTCATGGTAAAGTTAAGGGAAAATAAAATTACTCAGGAGCAGGACCGGTGCATACTACACCGAACCCCGACTGGCGGTTCAAACCTGATTGGGGGCCCCCAGTCAGTGCTTTATGACCACGCAATCTTATCAACTTTTGTTTTTTTAAACTTATGTTACAAATTAAACTAAACACAACTGACTAGTATTGATTAAATTGAAAATCTTTTGCGGGTTTTGACATTGGGATCTTTTTGTTTTTTTATCCAAATCCGTGAATTTGTTTTGCAGCTTTTGCTCATGCTCAGTCCCGAAAAAGTATTAAAACTTTACTATTTTTATCCATAATGTTGATTGTTGAATTGCTAAAGTTATTCAACTTTTTAACAAGAAAAAAAAAGTCAAGTTGATGTTAAAAAGTACCGCAAAACATTGATTTATTTATGGAATGATCTCTGACATGTCTTTAGTAAAGTTTTAATTTGTCTTTTTTTTTTTAGATATTGTACTTTGAATTTTTCACTTATATTGTATAGAATCCATTATTGTACGTAGGTTACAATATGAAATTAGTATTTTTTACTCCTTATGAAAATTGAGGTGTCCTAGAGTGGTGGGGACGTATCATAGTTTTTGGGGAGAAGGGGGTTGGAGACCCTTGCACTGGCACTGCTCAGGAGCGTGCTTTTAAGTAATGAAGTGGTTTGCCGCTACTTAGAAAGCCTCTCTAGTTATTATTACCACTAGCGTGAAAAGTTAACAGAAAATAAACAAAATTATAACAATGATGATGAATCTGAGCCACTACTAGAAGATCAAGCGAAAAGAATACTGCGGAGGGTGCTGGAATGAATTTCCAGTGAAAATCACCAGATACGACCATTATAGGAGGAAAAAGTCAAGGACTACTAGATAAATAAATGAACCATGGGGAGGTGAGTCGTGCTTATTTTGAGTCGCTTGGAATGGTCCCAGAATAAGCCCAGTGAGGTTTTTGAATAGCTGGAGAAGAAGAAGACGACAGGACTACTACTACTACTACTACTACTGAGAACGGTTAGAATACTGAGGAAAGTGCTGGGGTATTTAGGAAAAAGTCTCTAGTGATAACTACCAGATACCTGGTGTGGATATGCATAATAATAATAATAATAATCAGTAATGATAGTAAGTGGGGGAGGGGGACAAAAAAGAGGACTTGCTGGCACTTCAGTGAAATTCACCCGATTCGACTCCTGTGAAAAAAAAAAAACTGATATCGTTAAAAATGTTTAGTTCTCTTTATGATTTTGTGGTTGAGCTCTCTTAGATTTTTGTTTTTTACTCTTTTTTTTTCTACCTAGGGCTATTATCATCAGTTAACTTGGATATATATAGGCTAGGGACTGCTTCAACACAGTTATATGATGGTCAGCAATAGCTACCCGACCCAACGTTCTTTGATGTTGGTCAGTCGCAATAGAATTGGATACTACACAACAGTGTGGACTGGACAACTAAAGCTAATAAATAAAACAAAATGCCTGATTAAATAAGGATGAAAGCAATAAATAATAAGCTCAAACGGGTGATTTGAAAATACGTTTTGCTTTTAAGATCACACTTGCACAGGCACATTCACCTAGCTAGGCCTTATAAAAACGAAAAAACACAAGCAGGCATGAGGATTTGTTTTAGAAATGAAATAAATCATTATTTTTTATATTTCTTTTTAGCTTGACTGTTTTAATTTTTTTTTTTAATTAGATAAGAATAAGATTTTTCTCAAACACCAATTTCTGACAGCGTTTCTTCATCACTGTCGTACACTACACAGTAAGTAAAAGTTATTTATTTTTTAAGAATTTCAAGTTCTGTAAGTTAAGAGAAAAGAAAAACCCCTCAAACCGACATTAAGATATCGACAAACAATCTGCTCACTGCTGTGTAAATGATGATAATGATAATGATATGGACTGTGAAGAAAGATGTTTCAGTTTTATCTTAATATAAAAAAAAAACGCGAAAAACAATAATCGACACGCTATCCACTTAATAAAGATGAAGAGATAAACAGATTTAAAAAAAAAAAAAAAAATACCTGCATCCTTAAAATTTGAAAGAGTTGTCGATTCGGCATATGCAAAGAAAGGCGGGGTAAAACGGGTCGTGCTGAGTGTCTGCTTTAAAAAAATAATTGAAAGAAAAAAAAAAAAATCGGGGTGAGGGGAAAAAATAAAATAATAACTAAATACTTTTTTTTCCCCCAAAGATCGGGTGGGGGGGGCTCTTGTGTCGCCTTGGTGATGGGAACGATATGAAAACAGTTGTGTGTGGTGTCAACAAAATCTATTTATGATGCAGTTGAGTAAACATTAACTGAGTCATCTTCTCCTCTTGCTGTGGTGGAGAAATGGACGTTTTAGTCTAGTCGGGCATTTTCTGTAAATAAAACTGTAGGTTTAGACGATTGAATCGAGCTTCTCTCTCTCTCTCTCTCTCTCCCTTTCTTGTGTACCTTTGTCAATGTATTTTCTCTCTCCCTCTCTTCCTGGTGTTCTCTGTTGCTTTCTTTTTTTTTTGTCTTCCTCCTCGTGTGATAAGCAGACCCCCATTGCCTGTTTGTCTGTCTCTGGCTAGCACAGCTAGCTGGCTGGCTTAGTGGAAGGATGATGGTGACTAGCCAAGCTTTTCTTTTTCTTTTTTTTCCTTCTCACTTTCCTCGTCTTCCTTCCTTCCTTGTTGATTTAATTTCTACCACTTGGAAGTAACCATTAATTGTCCGTCAGTCCAACTGATTTTTATTTTATATATTTCCCTTCGGGTCTTCCTTACGTACCAACAAGACAACATTCGGACAGGTTGTATATTTATTTTTTTACTTTCTTTTCTTTGATAGCTATATTTTTAAAAAAAAAAAAAGAAAGATTCTTTGCTTTTTAGTTTTTTTAGTTTCTATCACTTAAGTTATTAACCTTTTTTTAAAATTATTATTTTAAAATTTCTGTGCTCTCTGTTTAATTTTGTAATAATATGTGACTTTTTTTACGTTTAGTCCAACAAAAAAAAAAAGCAATAATTTTAGGAAAAAAAAAAAAAAATTGCGTATATTTGGAAAAAAAAAAAAAAAAAAAATACTTACAGACGCGTGTCTAGACCTACCTTCACTTTTTTTTTTTTTAACGTTTGTCCCGGTCGGATATGTGTGGTCGCTGTCAGTAAATGTGTAAGGCACTTGTTTGGTAGTTACTTAAATGGTTGGTTATTGTAATTGTAGGTAGAATTTAGTTAGACTTACGAATTGTATTTTCAGTCATGCTATCACGCATAAGTTAGGTTATTTAAATTAATTAATATGGTTCGAAATTATAATATTTCAAGATAATGCTTTCCCTTTATGCGAAAAAAGACGAAGTTAATCGTGATTAGAGTGCGTGTGTGTGTGTGTGTGTGTGCTTGTGTTTACTTTAAGACAGTTACGTGACTAGAAGAACGATTTGTAGGAAATACTTGTAATAATGTATTAAAAAACTGTATTTTATAAGTATGCAAATGTCTCGAGTTTACGGAAAGACTGGACGCCTGTGAACTGATACAAAAAAGTAACTTTACTTCAAATTAAAAAAGTGAGTTTTTTTCTTTACCAAAACAGACAGGTGCGTATATATTTTCTCTTGATTTTGACTACGTATGCATATCTTAAGAAGGTTTTTTTTTTAATTTTCTCTATAAAGCATAAATAACTGTATTTACAAATGAAGTGTGTGTACTGTACACACCGTTTTTGTTTAATATTTATTAGACAAACGGAAACAACTCTAGAATAAAAAGAAGTGTGATAGACGTTTTTGTTTTGTCTCTAACAGTAGTAATAATTGTAATGTTGGTGTTGACTAGACTTGCAATAAATGTGTACACACGCGTGTACCCACACATTTTAATACTAACATACATGTACACAGTTATAGTTGTACACTACGAGTAAGAAGTACACGTGTATCTGAGGTTTACGTTTGTTCTTTTTGTGAGCATTTCAGTATGGAAATTGTAAATGCGTGTGTGTAGTGTCAACTGTCATCATATGTCCGTACGTTTACTTACATATGTGGATGTATGTGTGTGTGTACACACTAAGTTGTATGTGACACTCAGCTTCTGCTTGAGGCTCTTTTTTTTTTACTCGGTTATATGTGTGTCTTTTTCTCGGTTTCCTGTCGTTTAGTTTTAGTAGTACTTATCGTGTGTGTATACAAAGTGTACACGTGTGTTGTGTATTCGGTGTGACCCAGCCATGTGGAATTGGTACTTCATGTGTACGATCTTTAGCTTCTTGCCTAGAATGTTAGACTTTGTTGTGTGTGTGTTGGGTAATAAAAAAAAAAGCAAGAAAAAATTATACGATTTTCTCGTTTTTTATTTTTAATTTCATCATAAAAGTAACATTGTTTTAAAAGACGTACACAAGTTTTCTGATTTACTACTTATGGATTCACTTGTTTATGGGCACATTGATCCTGTGAAACCATATGAAGAAATAGAAATTTAAAACAAATGCATTATGTGAAAAAGACTTAGAGACGGTATAAACATGAATAAACTTAGATGAATAGGCTGATAAAATTTATATTTGTAACCGGCATTATTTTTCACTTTTCTTTTAATTAAGTAAGATTAAGAATAAGATCTGCAAAGAAAGATGAAATGTTTTAAGAACCTGGACGCAAATTTACTGTGGATTATCTAACGATCAAAAACACTTTCTATACACTTTCGCCTTAGTATTGCTTTCTGTATTTTCATTAGGGCAGCATTTTTTTAAATCGAAAAATTTAAAATTCCAGCGTTCCAACATCTTCAGCGTTTATTTACTCTGTCGGTGCCTATAATCAGCCTATCTATCTGCCCTTGTTCATATCTCGACCCTCCTCTCTAGGAGAGAGCCTGTTCAAAAATAGTGATGAACAGACAGATCATGTATAAGACCTAGAGAAGTAGATAGAGAAATTAACAAGTTCAGATAGATATATAAAGTTAAAAAGAAAAAAAAAACACTCATGTAATGATGATAGATAATGACAGATACAAACCGTGATATGATCAGGCTTAGATAGATAGGGTAAAAAAACAAAAACAATCGGAATGTAGACTGAAAAAGTGTTCTATTAAAGATAGATTTGTTGTTTGCTTAAAAATTGAAAGTCCACGAGAAATAGAAACAGATTTGAAATGTCCGCCCTAAAAATTAAGGAACTGAAAAACGGTTGATGTGAAAAAAGAAATTCTCAGGATGGTGCCAAGATTTTTAGCCTCGCTGTAATGTGCGTGTGTGTTTTGTTTACTTAGATATATAAACAGTACAAGTACAGTACACAGTACAGACCGGCTACTCGATGTTCATAGTAGTTTCATTTAAGAAAAAAGAAAGAAAGAAATGGAATGAGAAAAAGGGAAAATAGTAAATACCATATTTTTGTCAGCTAAGAAGAAGAACGGAAACTGTAAAATCTGATTTTGTAGAAACGGTCAAGGTCAGCACTTATTTTTATTTTATCTAAATTATTTCCTAAAATCGACTTTTCAGGTAATTTTCACATTGTTATTCTATTCTCCCATACACGTACGAATAAGAAAGCGAGAAAAGATAGAGTGAGACTTCCTTTGTTGGTTATAATTTTTATTTTTAAGTTTTTTCCTTTGCTGTATATTGTTAGTTACGTCTAGCTGTGAACGTTTGTCAGTTAACTTACAACTGGTCCTGTATTTTTTTTTTTTTCTGAATGGGGAATCTGCCTATTAAACTCCCCCCCCCTCCTCGTGACTTGATCTCTTTCTTTCCTTCTTTCTCTATCTTCCTCGATTTCCCGTGTCATCAGCTGATCAGGCAAAGTTCACAGACACGTACACACAGACACACACACACACACACACAACCATTTTCTTCGCCCTACCACACGTTAGTTACTGACAATAACTTTGTTCTGAAAAATCAGGTTTGGCTATTACACTTGTTTAACTTTAAACATTATTAAAGTAACGTTAAAATGCAGAACATTATTTTCATGACATCATGTGCTGTGAATGAGCATCTGACCATTTTTTTTAGTAAGTTGATCTTTAAAAACTAAAAGAAAAGAGTTATAGAGAGTAGTTTTCTGTTCACGACCGTTTTCTTATTTATTCACTCAGAGATCCTAGAAGTAAAAGTTAGCGAAATAATATGGTATATTTTTATCTGACTTTTTTTTTATCTAACAAAACAAAAAGTATTCGTAGTAACTAGTAACATTTCGTATGATCTTGTTCGTTTGTTTGAATTTCATACATTTTTTCTCTTTTTTTTTTTTTTTTTGGTCATGTTGATTGTTTGAATTGTTTTCTAATTATTATTATTTATTTTATTTGACAAAAGAACCGTTTTTCGTTTTTATTAGCAAATTCAAATTTAAGGAAAAAAAATCATGATTTATTTGAATAGAAAAAACAAAAGGTGGAGAATGTAGTAACTAGTGTACTAGTGATACAGTTCTCTCTATCATTCAATAATTCAATCCTTACCTAGTTAAAATTTAGAAAAAAAATGTAAAGGATGAAAGTTTTTTTTTTTTTTTTTTTTTTTTTGCTTGTTTAAAGTACGCATACTGAACCGGAATTAACCTCTTAAAATAGGATTGAAAAAGGGAAATTATTTTTCGGGGTCTAAATAGCTTTGCCTTTACAATTACATGTTCTTAATTAGTGGTCATATGTTTTAGCAATTTGTATTTTACACTGCGTACTCAGGTGGGTCGTATTTTCATATCATTTATTTATTTTTATTTGTACTGTGGTTCGGTCACTGTTCCTTTCACAGTTCCTATTAAATGCAAAAAAGAAAAAATATTTTCTTGATAACATTCAGTAACACACACACACACACACACACACAGATGCGCGTGCACACACTTAATTGAATTTCCGTATTTAAAAAAATGAAAAATGTTAGGTTCTTTTTTGGGAGGTCATTTATTGCCGAAATTCAAATTTTTGTTACATTTTATAGGAATATATTTACATTGAAAAGACACATACTGTGTATCATTTCAATGTACTCCAAGTTAAGAAGTCATTCTTTCTTTCGCATCTTTGAAGTGTCACAAAAAAGTTTTACGAAAATAGAAATAATGATTTATTTTAATTAAATTTTGGTTTTCTACTCATGGGTATCATATTCTCTAATGAATGCCATGTTTTATTGACCAAGAAGGCATGATCATCCATGTCTACAATGCCACTTGACACTTGATTCAGCCACAACTTTAAAAAAGGAAAGTTTCTCTCTTCTTCATTCATACAAAATTCGCATATACCATGAGTGGTGTACATTCTTTTTATTTGATTTTATTTATAGTTAAAAAGCATTTTTGCTTTAACGTCATCAAAAGCAATGATTTGAAGAAGTTAAGGAAGACTTTCAATTTCAAAATAATCGTATGAAACCCATATTATTTTTTGTATTTCTTACTAAAATTGTTCTCTTTTATTTTTCTTTTGTTGACAGTTTCAGTTATTTAATTAATTATGTGTAGATAACTGATTTGGTAAAATTTTCGTTTTTCTTGAAGGGTCGTTAAGAAATGTAGGAAAAACAGCGAAAACTTTTAGTTTTATTAAAATAAATTAACAACTGGTACTTGCCATTTATCTTTGAAGACATTTTAGCATAAAAAAATGGATTTCTTAATCGATAATTTCAATTTTCAAATTTTGTCTCCTTTTTCATATTGCCGTGTAAAATATAAATAAATAAATATTTTTACACCTGCTTGTTTTATTTACGTTGTAAACGATGATTAGAAAATTTGAGTATAGAAAAAAAACAAATCAAAACAGGGAAGTTTTTTGTCCCTTTTTCTTTTTAATAAATTTTTGATCAAGTAATAATAAAATCGATATATGTACCGCATATGGTCAGAAGAATATTGTATGTAAAATCTAAAGGTTTTTGAAAACAAACCCATAAAAAAAAAAAAAAAAAAAAACACTGTTGATATTTGAACACCTTGTCTTGAGTTGTTGAACCCATAAAATTTTTTCTCTTCATGCACAATACAACAAAAGCTGAAATAGATGTAGGAGGATCGGATGATTGTTTTTTTTTTTTTTGCTTTAATCTCCCAACTTTGGACGATTCGTTCGTCTTGGAAATCGGCAATTAAAAAAAAATTGCTTGGGCTCTAATAGTGGCCATTAGTTCCAGTGGTAAATACTCAACTCAGCTATCTTAGACACGTGGCAGGTCATTTAATTCAACTTTAGGCTTAGTTTGTTACAAGGCCACAAATATGCGGCAGAACCCCGTGAGGACTGAACTCAAAGCTGTAAATCTAGCTTCCTTCTTTTTAATCACTGTTTCAACAAAATTTTATTTATTTTAGTATGGCACAGGGTCACAGAATTAGGGCACTCAAGATCGAACTCGCTGGTTTTCTTAGACGAGCTTGTTAAATGCTAGTTAAAACGATATTTACGAAGTTTAGATAATTCTGGCATAACGGTTGCTAGCTGTATGGAACTCGGTAATGATCGAACACGTTGAGTGATTAGCGAATATGGTTTATGTGATGAAACACTACTTCGTGGCGAGATTACTTTTTATATTTAAAAATATTCTGCCTGTACGGATGTACCTGGTTTGACATGTTTAGGTGAAATAACCGTATTTCCTGGTCGGGTGCAAGGGTGTACTGTAACTCGCATGTGTGTGTAGTTCGTTCATTCATTCATTTGTTTGACTGAAGTTGTTAAGTCGAAATCGAAAATCAAGATGAAGAGAAAAAGGAAGTCGGCCAACAAGGGCAGAAATTTTTTTCCTTCATATAAAACAGGAAGAAGGATTACATTATTTTTCATGGGAAATCGGGTTTGATTTGTTATTTACTCAAGCCCACAATTATTCTTTTATGTGACACTTTTTCTTGGTTCTATTGAAGCTATTTTTGTTTTCCCTTTTTTTCTGTCTTCAACATACTTGTAAATAATTTTCTTCTATTTTTTTTTTATTTTCATCTATCTCCGGCTGTTCCTATCTTTGTTTCTATCTGTTTAATTTATTTATCTATCTATCTATCTATTATTCTAAGTCTTTGTTTCACTCTATCTATCTATCTCTATCTATTATTCTAAGTCTTTGTTTCACTCTATCTATCTATCTCTATCTATTATTCTAAGTCTTTGTTTCACTCTATCTATCTATCTCTATTATTCTAAGTCTTTGTTTCAATCTATCTATCTCTATCTATTATTCTAAGTCTTTGTTTCACTCTATCTATCTATCTATCTATCTATCTATCTATCTATCTATCTATCTATCTATCTATCTATCTATCTATCTCTAAGTCTTTGTTTCACCCTATCTATCTATCTCTATCTATTATTCTAAGTCTTTGTTTCACCCTATCTATCTATCTCTATCTATTATTCTAAGTCTTTGTTTCACTCTATCTATCTCTATCTATCTATCTAAGTCTTTGTTTCTATCTATCTATCTCTATCTATTATTCTAAGTCTTTGTTTCACTCTATCTATATCTATCTATCTATCTATCTATCTATCTATCTAAGTCTTTGTTTCTATCTATCTATCTATCTATCATTCTAAGTCTTTTGTTTCTATCTATATCTTTGTTTTCGTAACTGTCTTTGTATATTTGTTTATTTCTATTTACCTATCTATATTTGTTTTTACAGTTTATCTGTCTTTGTTTCTATTTACCTCAGGAAGGAAGGAAGGAAGGAAGGATCCTTCTTTTAAAAATGTATATTCAATTGTTATCGGTATTTGACTTTTTCCTTGCTTACTGCCTATCCTTTACTCTTTTTCCGTTCCTTCACCCCTACCTTTTTGTAACCCTGTCCCTTCGTAAGAGTAAGACATCTTTTTTTGTATTACGTTCTACACAGTCATTCAGTACTGGTTCGCCTTTTTTTTTTTCCTTCACTCTTCCTCAGCAATCTTGATTTTTCTTTTTTTTTTCTGTTGTCTTGTATTTTCTCGTCTCTTTCTGCTTTTCTTTTCTTCATTTCCGTCAGTAAGGAAACCTAATCCAAATATCGCTATGATCCCTGGTACAGTTGTCAGAGGGAGCAAAACGGCGGAATGGTAGAATATGTAAACAACATATTATGACTGAGGTACCTTACACTTCTGCCTGTTTCGAATGTTTTTGTCTACGGTTGTATGTTCAGTTCAGAGAAATAAATTCTTGTTTTGTGCGCCAATGCCGTTGTACGCTTGATGCATCTCTTTCTGTTTTTGTAAAAGTGCTAAAATAGTTTATTATTTTATTTTATTTATTTGGGGGATTCGCATTTCATTTTCTAACACACGCACAAAGAAAGAAAAGAAAAGAACTGTCTTTTCTCAATTAATAAAAATAGAACAAAACTTTGTTTTCACTACCTGTAAAGACGTCTTTTTCCCAAAGAAAGAATCACAATACCGTCTTTCATTCAAATCAATTTGAATTTAAAAGATATTTCCGTGTAAAAATAGTTCACTCTATTTCTCCTGGAAAATAAATGAAGAGAATGCCATATATAGTGACATCATGCTATGTTAGCATACGGGAAAATTATTATTTCAAAAGTTTTAAAATTGCGAAAACAGCATCTGATTTTTGTGCGCCTGAATAAAAAATATCTTTGACTTTCTCTCGCTGTCTTTTCGTATCTATCACATTCCTATCTATCTCCTTTTTCACATGTTTCTATGTATGTCCCCCTTTTTCACATGTTTCCATGTATGTCTCCCTTTTCACATGTTTCCATGTCTGTCTCCCTTTTCACATGTTTCCATGTCTGTCCCCCTTTTTCACATGTTTCCATGTCTGTCCCCCTTTTTCACATGTTTCCATGTCTGTCTCCCTTTTTCACATGTTTCCGTGTCTGTCTCCCTTTTTCACATGTTTCCATGTCTGTCTCCCTTTTTCACATGTTTCCATGTCTGTCTCCCTTTTTCACATATTTCCATATCTGTCTCCCTTTTCACATGTTTCCATATCTGTCCCCCTTTTTCACATGTTTCCATGTCTGTCTCCCTTTTCACATGTTTCCATGTCTGTCCCCTTTTTCACATGTTTCCATATCTGTCCCCCTTTTTCACATATTTCCATATCTGTCCCCCTTTTCACATATTTCCATATCTGTCCCCCTTTTTCACATATTTCCATATCTGTCTCCCTTTTTCACATATTTCCATATCTGTCTCCCTTTTTCACATATTTCCATATCTGTCTCCTTTTTCACATATTTCCATAAAATAATTAGATAAAACAACTGTCAGGATTTTAATTTTATCTACTGTACCAAACATTCACTTTAAAAAAGACTGATAAATGGAGGTTATTTTAGTTTCAAAATTTATTCTCTCTTTTTTTTTTTTTTTTTTTTTCGGTATGCGATCGGATATATGATATATCGCATCTTATTTCTTAATTTAATTCTAAATTAAATCAAAATCGCGTTGCACTTTGTAGTCACTTGCTTCGTTATGAGACGTTTACTTTACACAAAGTCAGAGACTAATTAAAGGGAGAACACTGTTAAGAGTCACACGAGATAGGAAGTTGTGGAGAGCCATGATCACCTATGTCCTGAAGGGACCCGGCATATAGAATATTCTTTATAATTCTTTGCCTTGAATTATTTCGGTGAAAGTGAATAAGAGAAAAGATTTGATTTTTTTTTGTTTTTGTTTTGTTTCAAATTGACTTCAGTTGGTAAACGAAACGTGTCACTTACCCAATAAGGAATATAGAATTTAAAATTTTCTCTGTTGGTTACTGTTTTTTAATTAATCTCGATTATTTGGTGTTTTTTGCCGTTACTTTCTTTGTCGAAGGATTAAGAAAGCTGTACTTTATTATTATAATATTTTAAAAATTTTCTTAGTTTTTTTTACGCTTGTAAGTTAACGATATGAAACTCGATAACAACGTGTCTGAAATTATTCAGCATTGTTTTTTTTTGTTTTTTAAATTTTAATTTATTTTTCTTACATTTTATTGTTGTATAAAATTATTTTTCACAAATGAAAAAGGTTTTAATTATTATTTTCTTTTTTAAACAATATAACCTTAAGGAAAAGGAAACTCAAAAACACGTGTGTATTTCCACCCGACTACTTTTTTTTTTTTTTTTTTTTTTTTTTTGACGAATTATAATACTAACCTGGCACATGGGGAAGTTAAAAAAATATTAATAATCCCAAACTACATGGGGTCCTTTCTCTAGGCAATATCTCTCCTTCGGGAGGTGGGGCTGGGTTTATTGCTCGACGCCTGGGGCGTCCCCAAAGGAGGGGTACCAAGGGGGCTCGAGCTATTTTCCACGGTATTGCAGTTAAACCTACTTTACACCTCGACCTTATGTCACATTCGCTAGCGACGTGGGCGCGCTGAAAAAGAAATTAATAATTGTTTTTTTTAGTTTTTGGGATTCAAAAAACTTTTTTAAATGAGTTTAAAGTTCCCTTTTTAAAATGTTGGCTGATGACTTTTTTTTAATTGTTCTTTGTTTTGTGCTTTTTAATTTTAAATTTATTTGTTTATTTTTGTCATTTTGTACAAATTCCTTTAGGAATTCACTGATGCGCAAAGAAAAAATGCGTTGGTAAAATTGTCATACACCCGAACATGTTGGTACCGAGAGATATTCGGACGGTTTCTTTTCTTTTTTTTTTTAGTTACAGAGAAATCAGACATAATATCAATCCAAACTACTTACACACCTGCGTTACTGTGTAAAATTAAAAGTTTTTAAATTATGATTTATTTTTTTTTTTATCTACGAGTTTTTATCTCAAACTATCTTTCATTCAATCTATACTTTCTTTGACTATACTTAGTTTATCTATCTCTCTATCGCTCTCTATCTATCTACAATGTAGATAGATAGAGAATATAGATACAGAATATAGATAGATAGATGTAGATTCTACATCTATTCTATCCATCCATCCATCTATCTATATATTCTATATCCATATAGGGGAATACCAATAATTTTTACAAGTTTTTTTTAGCTTTCTCGTATTTTTTAAACAATTATTTATTTTATTCTTTTTAGTTTTTTTTTTCTCAGTTATTTTTCATCTTTGCTTTGAGATTCTTTTTTTCCTTTCTTTGTTTCTTTAATGTCCCAGTCGATAATGTTTCAAAGAACCAAATTGTTAAGAGCAGTTAATTAATTCAATGTTCCTAATAAGGAATAAATATCCAACAACACCTCTCTTGTAATAATCATTTACGATAAATTCCCTTTTACATTTTGCGGGTGGGGGGGGGTTGCTACAATTTCAATTCTTTCTTTTCCGAACATTGAGATCGTTAAAAAAAATAAAGTGTCCTTTCAGCTTAAAACGCTTTCCTTTCTAAATTTTAGTTTAACAACATTTATTTTTGGTCCTATTTTGAAAGTGTTCGATTATTAACTTTCAGGTAAGTACCACAGCTGTTATTTAAGTAGGGAAAAGAAGTAGACACTTTGAGAACTTTTATGCTTTCAACGTAAATTTAAGTTCTTCAGTCGCCTTGATTGTGAAATTGCGAATTTTTTTTTTTTTGTGAGGATTTGCTTCTTATTCAATTTCTAAGTGTTTGAAATTTAAAATAAGGTAAAAAAAAGTATTAGTTAAATTATTTAACTTAAATAATATTTATTATTTTTTTAGTTTTCATTATTCATTACTTTGTTTTCCGTTTTTTTTTTGTTTGTTTTTTGCTTTTTTTGTCGTTCCATCTTTAAGTTTTAACAGTTGCTTTCTTTTAGTTTTACGTAAAATAATTTCTTCTTCCAACTTTTTCGTTCTTTCTTCCTTCCGCATCCGTCCTAACGATTAAAATTTCCGAATTATGTTGGATCTTTTGGCTAAAAAAAAGGAATATTGTGTAAAAATGAAATGCGTATCCTGCTTGATAATTCAACAGCAGATTTTATTAAAAAAAAAAAAGAAAAGTGGGGTCTATCCCTCTATTTTGGGACAAGCACACTTGATCGGAAAATTATAGTCAAAAACTAAATTGTGAGACAAAACATTTTTCGTCGTTACCATGTTGGAAATATCACGTCGTAAAACTACAATTGTCATCAAAAGAGCCATACAGATATTGATTTGCTGCTAAAGACAGTTACTCCTTTAAAAAAAAAAATAATTTACTTGGGACAAGATCGGTTTCAATTTTAAAGACGTGACACGGTGAGAATAATACGTGTACGTCTTTTCTGCCTGTCTGGTTCTTTTCCCACAGGAAAGAAAACGAAAAGAAGAAAAGTTTCTTTCTTTCTATGTGTTCCTCTATTTTTGGTTTTACGTCCTAAGACAAGTTCAAGTCCCTTTTCTCAAAAAAAAAAAAAAAAAAAAAAAAATCTGCTCTTAATACTCTGGTCCTCATTGGTAGTGGTGATGGTAATGAATGATAAAATTACTGCAGCACTCGGCGTGTGCCAACACTTAAAACGCCGATAACTTCCGCAAGTGCCCGCTAGAATTAAGGGAACAACTTCTTTAGATCTCTGAGACATTTTTCACTCGTTGCCGACATTAACGCCCTCTCAACATAATTGTTTGCTTTAGTTTAAAAACATGATTTTTTTTTATTCGACTTTAAACTCCTAAATCCGATCACCCGAAAAAGGGATTTTTTCTCCTTTTTATAACAAACTATTACCAAACCATTATTGGTTGAACAAACTCACCTAAAAAAACGTCGTTAAATGAATGGGATTTTTTTTTTTTTTGTTTAGAGTTTTTTTAGAATTTATTTTAAAACTGAAAGTTGTTCACTCCACAGTTTGTTCACATTCTACTAACTAACTCGGTTAGTGTCACTGTGTTGAGAACCTTCAGTTCAAGTGTGGAGAAACTTAAATGCTGTAGCAGTCACATGTTTGAAGGAAATATACTTAGCTTTATGAGAACTAATATCTATCTATCTATCTATCTATCTATCTATCTATCTATCCTATCATTAAAGGATTTCTATCTCATGCAAAACGTTTGATTTGGAATCAAGAAATGTTAATTAAAAATGTAACTGCCTTTCATTGTTACATTCAACAATATTTGTGTGTGAGAGAGAGAGAGAAAGGTGTATGTAAGCAGCATGAATTCATCCAAGAAAGTTTTGTTAAATTCAGCTGATAAGGTCTAATTAATTTTTTTATTATATTTTTCCAATTTTCAAATGAGATTTGTTATACTGGAATTATTAAAAATTATGAATAAACGGTTCAAATTTCATGTTCTCTTTTTTTCTTGAAATTTCATGTTTTTTCCTTGTTTTGTTCAAGTAGTTTCAACTGTCTCAGTCATGATCAAGAACTGGATGTTGTCAATATGGTAACCAGTATTTTCTAAATAAATCCTGCCATTGGAATTGATTCAGAGTGGCATCATACATAAAAAAATCGTTTATAAGAACATCTATTGGTGTTCACTGCCGTGTTTTTCTATAAAAATAATGAAGCATGTTTTATTTTTTATGCTCTCTCAGGAGTCATAGTTTTCAATACCAGATTTGGTTTGCAGACCCAGGGATAAAGATAATTCATAACTGATAAATTCTATATCTGTCTATATTTCTGAGATGAGGTATTATAACTATTTACACTATTCAGACTCTTGTCCTCATCTTTGCTGTCACATTCACGACATTTCGGCTGTTATACGCTTCGGCCTTCTTCAGGATCTGTTTATATTTCTGAGATGAGGTATTACAACTATTTACACTATTTACATTGTTCAGACTGTTGTCCTCATCTTTATTGCCATATTCACATTTTGGCCATCGTACATTCTTACTTTGTTCAGGTGATATATGTTGGAATTTTGAAGCGGACCCTTTATTTAGTCCATGAGAGTAGATTGTTCTAGTTTCACATGCCATGCCTTTTTTGGATATCTCAGTATCAATTAATTCCCTTTAGTAATTCACCTCTCCAAGTTTTTATTTTCTCTTCTGTGGCCAACAACTCTTCAGGTCAAGTCATTTTTTTGATTACTCAACCAGTGCTTTTATCCATTGGTCTATGTGTCTCTGAACAAAGTAAATAGTGTAAATTCTATAATATTTCCAGATTTGAATGCTAGACTTAGAAACAAATGACATATGCACAACACCAGCCTCCTGCTGCTTAAACAGCACATAAAATCAACTTATAAATACTAAGTTAGGCAGAGTGCACAAATATACATTGACCGTAAGCAAAGGCCCAAGGATCAAAACTTTTATTCGAGGCAGAGCACACAGACACCCTGAATTTAAAACAAAGCACAAATCCATACCTAAATTATCCTGTCATTTTTTACAGGTATTAGTAAATTATAATAATTGTTAATAAGTATATACATTCAAAAAAGTATATAAAAAAGACCAGAGTTTTCACTGGAAACCCAATCAGTAAGAATTTGCTGAAGTGAAGACTTGTAAAAAAAATATTTTTTGCTTTAGCATGACAAAAGTTATTGGCAAAGAAACAAAGGGACACAGAAAAAGTTACATGATTTGTCATGACTTTAATAAACAAGTTTTTAATAATAAGCATTTGATGACAATTCTTTTTTGGAGTTAGTTGAAGTTAACACAAAGACTTCTCTTTTTGGCTGGAAATAATTGTTGAATAAAAAAAAAAGTCCTGTTTTGTATGTTTCAGCATTAAAAAAAAATTCACATAAAAACATTCCAACAAAAATATAGTGATAATTATTGAGTTTACATTTGACTTATGTATATATTTAATTTCACTATCTTCATCTTTGTCTCAGTTTGTTCATATCTAAATCTTGTCTGCACCCATTTCTATCAGAGTATTTTCTTCGTTTCTATCTATTTCAGTATGTTTTTATCTCTAAGTTTGTCTATCTATCTATCTATCTATGTCAGTCTGTTCCACTCTCTTTGTCTGTCTGTCTATCTATCTATCTGTGTCAGTCTGTTCCTCTCTCTCTCTCTATCTGTGTCAGTCTGTTCCTCTCTCTCTATCTATCTGTGTCAGTCTGTTCCTCTCTCTATCTATCTGTGTCAGTCTGTTCCTCTCTCTATCTATCTATCTGTGTCAGTCTGTTCCTCTCTCTATCTATCTATCTGTGTCAGTCTGTTCCTCTCTCTATCTATCTATCTGTGTCAGTCTGTTCCTCTCTCTATCTATCTGTGTCAGTCTGTTCCTCCACCTCTCTCTATCTGTGTCAGTCTGTTCCTCCACCTCTCTCTATCTGTGTCAGTCTGTTCCTCTCTCTCTCTCTATCTATCTATCTGTGTCAGTCTGTTCCTCCACCTATCTGTGTCAGTCTGTTCCTCTATCTATCTATCTATCTATCTATCTGTGTCAGTCTGTTCCTCTCTCTCTCTCTATCTATCTATCTGTGTCAGTCTGTTCCTCTCTCTCTCTCTATCTATCTATCTGTGTCAGTCTGTTCCTCTCTCTCTCTCTATCTATCTATCTGTGTCAGTCTGTTCCTCTCTCTATATATCTATCTACCTATGTCAGTCTGTTCCTCTCTCTCTCTCTAAGTTTATCTATCTATCTATGTCAGTCTGTAAATATTTTTTAGGTCATCAGTCAATCACTCCATCTATTTCCTGCTTAGTGGTTGAGATGTTTGCATCTTTAGTATTTGTTACTGATATCCAAGACTGATTATAATAAATAATGATTTTGTTTTGTTTTTTAACACATACAACTCTTCCCTTAATGGAAGGTTGTTGCAACATGATCTTCTTACTAGTTTTGAAGTTCAAATGAATGTATTATTTATGAATTGATATAGCTGGTATATTTATTAGTAATTTTTTTCCTGTAATCTCCCCCCCCCCCCGGCTAAAAGAAATGTAAATTTTTCCATTTCCTGGAGACCTCTAAAGAATGGCTCACCTGAAACCTTTGCAGGAACCTCACAGACACAAGGAAGTTCAATTGTCAAAAGATAATTCTCCTTACTTTTATAATTTTTATTCAGTGGGTTCTTTAGCCTTGGATAGTAGCCAGTCTAGGAGAAGAGCTACTTTGAATTCAAACCATGGAGAAGATAGCAGGAAACAACTCTACGGCCTTTCCTAAGAAGCTATGGCAGTTTACAGATAATAAACTGAATCAGGTGGAGAGCCATGATCCTCTGTCTTGAAGGAACATTTTTTTTTATTTTTTATAATTCATAGTGAATTCACAAAACAGTGGAACTCTTTGAATTGTCTAAGATTTTCAGAAAATGTTATACCAAGTATTTTTTCAAGTATTTGACTAACTAAAGATCAAGAGTCATTAAAGCAGAACCTAGCTCTGCTGATCACCGTAGTTTCTTACTACTTTGAATTACAATAAGTAGTAACATATCTAAAACAACAACAACAATTACACAATATCAAATGGGGAAAAGATAATTGTAGTATAAAAAAGAAAGAAAGATAATATATATCCTGAAACTTGTTTTTCAGCCTCAGATAAAGAAATTATTTGTAAACAAAGTAAGCCACATTTATTTTCCAGAAATTCAGTGAACGAATAACTACAAAATATTTTAATTGATATTTAAGTAGAAGACAATGCTTTTCTAATCATTTATAAGTTTGCATAAGGCTAAATTTTTGTTTGTGTGTCTTAACCTTACATCCATTAAACAAAACAGTGTGTAATTATTTACCCGGTCTCCCCGCTGTACATGGGATGTGACACAAGGTCGAGTTTAATGAGGGGAACAAGAGCATGTACACTCGGGCCAGGGACAAAAATTCCCTGAGCCCCTCCAAGCGATGACTGTGCTGGCCTCTGTGTTGAGCACCAGTCCTTCTTTCTAGTGCCATGAGAGGGTACAGCCACAGGCAGCTGTTTCCCAGGGCAGGGCATCTCACTGTGTGCTCACGATTTTCCTCAATTGCACCCTTGCCTACCAACTGAGCCGCAAATGAGTCACGCTCTGCCTGAAAACAGAGACACAACTTTATATTTAATTTAAAATTTAAAAATTACCATATATAAAGGTAAAGTTTTTTGTGGTTATATAGTTGTTGTTGGTGATGGTACTTGTTGCTGATGGTACTTGTTGCTGAGTATTGGGTACTTATTGTAATTTTCCTTCTTTATGAAATGAGTCCTATATTGAACCTGAAGAGACATCCACAGCCACCACTTAGTAGTGTAGGAGTATCCAGGGGATGGAGAGTTCTGGCTTTTCTTTGGCCTTTCTTCATCTATTTGTTTTCTGGTGTTTTTGAAAGATGTTGATTTTTTTTTTCCTTTTTTTGTAGGCTGCTCTTTTCCAATTGGTTCTTTCTACAGCTGCTGTCTTCCAATTGACTAAATTGATTTCTGTCTTCAGCGGGTTTTGAACTGATCATTGAGTTGACAACATGGGTCTCCATGTGGTCTCTTGCCAGATGTGAGCTCTGAGAAGAGGATTTGTTTGGGTGGGTGGATGTATCACATTTTGGCAAGTTGTCCAGCCCATCAAAGTTAGTGGCAAGTCATGGTGCTTTCTAGACTCTCCATCTTTATTTATAGTGAAAGAATTTGTATCTCCTTTGTCAAAATTCTATAGTAAATTAACAAAAAATGATTACATTTAGGACAAACATAAAAATGATCTTAGCTTCTAAAAATAACTTCTTTTTTTAATAACTGGACATAATTTGAATAATTAAAATTTACAATAATGTTTTTATAGAATTCTATAATTTTAGGCATGGCAATATTATTTACAATCTTATTTTATGCAGTGTTCATAATGACCATTGCTGTCATCTGTCATTTCACATCATAATAAATTAGTTCTTTGGAGCCAAAAAAAAATTATAGAAATATCTAAATAAGTTAAAATCTGTTTAATTCGATCAGTGTTTCTCAGCCTTTTTAAGCAATGGCACACCTAGGAATAAATGAAAATATCACAGCACATTTAGCAAGATTTTTGAAAGGTATGCATTTAAATGTTGTGAAATAAAACCATAGATTTAAAAAAAAAATACTTAAAAAAAAATGAATCTTAAAGCAAAGTATTTAGAATAACATAATCGAAGAATAGTGAAAAGAATTATTTGAAAAAAAAAAAAAAAAGTTTAATACTTCATTTATTTAAATACTAACACTGACTAACACTGTACCACGAGTGTGGCATGGCACAATGGTTGAGAATCATTGAATTAGATGTTCCTACAACTATCGAATTAAACAAGTTAAAATATAGGAAGTTTGCAGAATTATTATTATTATTAATAATAATAATAATAATAATATGAAAACTAGAAAATTATTCAAACATTTCTCTCTCGTTCAGCTCACTGTAGCTATGGATAGAGTAGGAAATTCAAGTGGACTTAGCGTAATAACAAAAGGAAGTTTAGAAAATGTTTATACAGGAAATTTTAGAGCAGGAAGAGAACTTTTATGACAACCTTTTTCCTGTTCATAGAAGTGGTATTCAGCTAGTATTTTAAATTAATACTACAAAAGTTTTTAGATCACTAGTTATGCAAACTGATCACCATAAAATTATTCTTCTTTTATGTGCAATGTCTCTTCAGGATATAGGCGATCATGGCTCTTTACTTCCCACTATCCCTTGTAACTCTCAATAAGTTTTGTTCCTTTGCTACTTCTCATAGACCCTGTTCTGTCATCCACTTGCTTAAGCCCACTAGGTATGTTATGCGTTGCTTTTTCTTGTCTCTCTTTCCCTCTATTCGACCTGTGAGTATCAGATTCTCCAAGCCCTCCTTTCTCATTATGTGTCCCAGAAATTTTTTTCAGGAGGGGTTAAAATTCATGCAAAAAAATTTAGGGGCTGTACTATACATGAAGTTGGCTCATACACAAGTATATATGGTAGTAGATTTTCTTTCGAAATATGTTTTTTAAAAAATGTCTCACAAAATATTACTTCATTTTCAATAAGCTGATAATAAATGATTTGTGGAAGTTTTTTAATAGTTATCTTTAACACATCTCTCTTTCTTCATTTCTTTCTTTCTTTTTTATCTCATCTAATATAATTATAATTTTTTACCTGGTATAATATAAATAATTTTTTTAGTTAAATTTTCAAAATTGGCTTTTCAAATAACTGAAAACAAATTTTCATTTTAAGAAAACTAGGAAATATTATTTCTTTTCAATAAAAAACATATTTGATAGTATATACAACACCTTTTTACAAAAGAAATTTATTTTCTATGATGCTATGTGTTATATATATATATATATATATATATATATATGCACACACATTTTTATATATATTTGCTATATTTCTTTATATATATATATATGGCAATAGGAAAACTAGTTATTGCTGATGCATTTCGGCCAATGTGGACTTTCTCAAAGCAAAAAACAAAACGCGTCAGCAAATATTACAGTTTTCCTATTGTCATTTATATTTATAAATATTGTCTTTTCTACAGGTTAACTCTGAGAAATTTTTTTCATATATATATATATATATATATATATATATATATATAAAAAAAAAAAAGGAAAAAAAAAACATTTTCTTTTCAACATCATCACTTGATAAGACACAGTGTGTTGAAACAAAATGGCTATTTTTGTAGTGATTTTATAACATACTGATGTTATAATTTTTTTATAAAAATAAATATATATATATATATATATATATATATAAGCAAATGTAAATGGATATAGATCCGACATTTCATTCATTTTAAACAACATAACTGCATTTAAGGATTTTTGTTTGTTTTTTCCAAATTTTTCTTCATATATATATATATATATAAAACATACCTTCCCTTTGTCTTTTCTATGAATATTTTTATGGTAATTGTTCTGCTGATTTTTCCTTTATGGTACCTAGATGTTATCAATTGAAGCACAGTACTAGATTGGCAGCAAGGTTTCAGCATTTTATAGGTGAAATGGTTAGATATGTAACTGTAAGTTCTATGCTAACAGTTTCTTCTATTGCACTTCTCACTCCTGGAACACTCTTCAAGATTTTTTATTTCCCGTTAAGTTTAAACTTCAAAAATTTAAATGCAATATCAACCATTATCTTCTGTCTTCCATATTCCTCTTCTTCTATTGTTCTCTCTCCTTAATAATGTTTTCTTTTTCTCATATTCTCTCACACTCAGCAACTGCTTGTGTCTTAATGACTTTATTGCCTTGCTTGGGGTGAAATGATTAATTATATTCAGAGGGTAGACATTTTTGAGTTGATATTTATTTTATTTTATTTTTTTTTTTTTTAGCAGTGAAATTGATACCCTACAGACAGATAGGGTTTCAGTTTCACTTCTTTTAAAAAAAACTTAAAAAGGAAACTCCAAATGTCTATTCAAACACTTGTAGCTTATTAAATATAACATCTGTAGCAATAAGAATGAATGTCTGATTAAAAAATCAATTGTTTAAAAATTACTTTGCTCACATTTCGGGCATAAAATATAAGCTTTGCAAATATAGACTTCGAAAGGTTCTAATGAGATATGTGTATTTCTTAAGTAGGTTAATTGAGCCTTGTTTTGCTCCCATGGCTTCTCATAGCTTAATAGTA